CCTTCTCAACCACCTGCCCTTCTGCACGACGGTCGAGGACGTCGAGAGCCTCTTTGTGCTCTTCAAGGAGGGCGACCCGGACTACTTCGGGAGGGTGCAGAAGGTGAAGATCCCGTTGAACAAGGAGTGCCTCTGCCAGGGCTACGCCCTGGTGGAGCTGGACTCCGAGAAGGGCTTCAACCGCGCTCTAGAGGAGCTGGCGGGGACGCCGGTCCTCATCGGGATTGAGCCAGATACCCCGCCTGAGTCGATCCCCCAGCTGAAGGTTTCGCCCGTCTTCCTCGCCGAGGAGGCCGAGATCGAAGAGGAGCCGCTGCTCGGGGAGAAACGGCCCCGTGAGTGAGGGCAAACCACCACGCCGCCTCGCCTTACGTGGGATGCGGTGATGGGTCAAGACCTAGGTTGGGGGAAGATTCTGCGCAGGCTTGGTTCTCAGGCTGTGCATACGCAAGCGCGGAGCGCAATTACTAAAATACTCACGCGTATAATATCTTTATATATCCATGTTTGTATAGGTGTATAAGGGTTGTAAGGATAATACATTGGGATGATTGTTTATTTATTTATTGGTGACACTTGAACCACATGGTGTAGAAAAAAACATTGACCCTAAACTGTGACATTAATTCGGCATCAGTTGATTGGGTATAAATATGGATCGATCTTATTTCTATATTTCTATATTTTTCTAACGATAATAATGTTTGGACATACTTTTGTGTATTGCTGCTACTTTAGAAATGTACCTGAATCTTTTAATTTGATATAATTATTTCCCTTTTCTTTGCAAAATTCTGTCGCCTTTTTTTTCATCAACAATAGATGCATACATGTATTATGTAGAACAAAATATTTATTACTAATCAGTAATATGTCAGTGAAAGATATTAGCGTCACCTCAGCCACTGTAACAGAGAAGCCAACTTGGTTTTCTTCTTTTGTTATCTTCGAACTCTTTTGGTTTATCTGTTTTGTGGTCAGCGCCACTGCAATATTTAAACTCCGACGTCGTGCAGAACAGAGAAAACGACAGGTTTTTGCTGGCCGGCGCAGGTTTCCTACTAGCTCCGTTTTCCGATCAATTTATCGGGCTGGAAATGTGAGCACTGTGTAGTGACGATTTTTTACTCTCTTCTGTTATCCGAACAAATAAGCAGTAGATTAAAAAAGAAGGGCGTTTGGAGAATAGAGGGGGGCTTGAATGCACCATTAAAATTTTTTATCCAAAAAGTCTTTATCGCGTCGTTTTAATCGTTTGATTTTAGCTGTGGTTCCGGAAGCATATACATATAATATATATGATTATATATATATATATATATATATAT